AAAGATAGTCTAAGATGATTCACATTAACATAAATTTTGTGATTTATCCTAAATCATCTAACAAAAAATCCTGCGTATAGTTCAGTGATTTGATAACAGATGCTAAAAACCAAATTACAAATGAATCTATTGAGATTTTTGGCAAATAAAAATATTGATGCAGATATTTTGCAAATGTTTTGTTTGCATTTTACTTCACATGCAAAAGGATTCAAACAATAGGTGCTGACAATAAAACAATACAACTAATATTTGTTGGTTACCATACATATAATTAATATAAATTTTGTTTGTAGGCGTTACAGAACTTTATGTACACAATGCTTAGAGATAGTAATAGCACTGCAGCTAAGATGTCATTGGATGTGATGATTGAACTATACAAGAGAAATATATGGTAACTATGCATCTTCCTGCAAATTTTGTTTGATATTTTCTTAAGATTGTCACAGTGATGTTTCATGCTCATCAACATTTTGCAATTTATCAGGAACATTTCTAGCACTGAAAATTTTCTAGTGTACATGTACCTTACTTTCTCAAGATTGTTGATAAGCTTAATAAATGATGTCCTATTCATGAATTTTCATCAAAATATTTGTTAAATTAAAGGGGAATCGCTCAATCCCCTGGATTGCACCAAAGAATCATGGGACACTATTGTTTATGTTGTTTACGATGTTAATCTATCTTTTGTTATTCATTGTTATTTTAATCCAGAAAGTAAATTTGTTGCGAGATTAGGCTTAACTGGAAGGTGCCCCTTTAAGAACTTTGTGATATTATGGAGGTCATGTAAGGTTTTGGCGATTTCTCCAGTGTTGTCTGTTTTCAAATCATAATGTATGATTTTTGACTCTCCTGTGCGAAGGACACTGTGAATGGGAGTTTTTGCACTTATCAAATAGCAGAAAAATATTAGTTGTCAAAATTCTTGTTTGAAAGGCTACACGTAATCTTATAATCTTAAATTTTGAATTCATTTGTCTCCAATACACTCAGAACACAGGAGTTCTTTCTAAGCTTTCTTTTCTGTAATTTTTTCCACATTTTTCTATGATTACTTTGTTAATTTTGGATCAAATGAACCTAATATCCTGATTTTGATAAAAGTTGACATAGGTTGACTATGATAAGATTAGAGATCAGATGGCTAATTTAGTAGATTTCTGAGCACAAAATGTGAAAACAATCTGAATTTATTTGTTCCTTGTGACATCAATTTCATGTTAATTATTTTTTTATTTTTATTTTTCAGGAATGATGCAAAAACTGTAAATGTGATCACAACTGCATGTTTTTCTAAAGTAACAAAGGTAACAACAATTAAATAACAATACTGTAAAATGAGAATTTATTTTAGCATCTAAAGAATAAAAGGTCAGGTAGCCTGATTTTATTTTCGTGCAAAACAGTTTCACCATTTTTTTTTGTTCTCATGGTGCTCTATGCATTGCTTTTTTTCATTGTAGACGAAAATAAAAAAACGTTTTCACACATTTCTTTCGGCATTTCAACATTTTTTTTAGCTATACTGTACCACTACGATCACCATAACATTGTCAGCATTGCGATGTGATGAGAATCCACTGCCATCATTGTTACTTTTCAATGTCAAAACACGCATCAAATGCAGAATTTGGTTATTTAAAAATTAAAAAAAAATGTTGGACTTGTAGCGAAATCAGCTACGTGGTGTTGTTTAATGCAAGGAGTATGCACTCTGCACTGCCATCATGGCAACCTCGTTCAGAATCTTATTTGTCACCCATCATGCATTGGTCACAACATCACAAACTGCGCTGTATGACAATATCGGTGACTTCTGGTACCAATGCACTGAATGAGTTATTTCCAGCAGTCATAGTATGTCAAATTTTTTCGCAGTTGAAATAAAACCTGCTTTGATTTACCATAGTTTTACAATAAGACTTTCTTTCAAATTTGTTTTCTGCATTTGATACTTTGAGTCATAAAAACTGAAAATAGCCATTGTGCAGCAACTCAAAATAGTTCTTCAGAATGCAAACTGTGTTTGTTTTTGTCACATTGTTGCTGCTAATATGCAAAGTACGACTCATAGATTTGCATGCAACTTAGATTTTAATTTCACTCAAATAAAACCAATGTGGTAAGATAAAGTATTTAACATTAGGCAGAATTTTATGTTTCATAGCATCATTGTTTTTTACCAAAAGCAATGTTTCCAATTCACCAACAGCAAATAAGGGACTTTTTTTTTTACTTTATATTTGAAATTTTTTTCATTCTCTAGATCTTGGTTGCCTCTTTAAAGTTTTTTATTGGTAAGGATGAGGAAGAAGAAGATAAGTCAGACAGTGACAGTGATTCTGATGTAGGTGACCTAATAAAAATTATCATTTTGCACTCAGAAGAAATGCATTCGTGTATAACCAATATCTGTTATGTAAACATCAACAAATTCTGTATGGTTGTTTTTAGTTCATGTTTCATGCGAAGTCAAAAATTATAAGTGGGGTTTCATCCATCCATGTTTGTGTCTATGCGCATGTCAGTCCAGAGCTACTTTACTCTGTTTGCTGTTGTTTTCTGATCATCTCAAACTTGGTTATCATGTTAATCAGTATCATGTTAATCAGTATCATGTTAATCAGTATCATGTTAATCAGTATCATGTTAATCAGTATCATGTTAATCAGTATCATGTTAATCAGTATCCTGTTAATCAGTATCCTGTTAATCAGTATCATGTTAATCAGTATCCTGTTAATCAGTATCCTGTTAATCAGTATCATGTTAATCAGTATCATGTTAATCAGTATCATGTTAATCAGTATCCTATTAATCAGTATGAATTCTTGTCCAAGTTTTTAAAGATAATCTTGTACTTTAAAACTGTCTCCTACTTGTGGCAATAATAAGGTATATGATAACTTTCCCGTGGTTACAGTAACTTTTATCTGATCATTTCAAACTTTTAAAGCCTGTCAAACACTTTAAAATATTAAGCTCAATTTTTGGTGAAATTTTGGTGAAAATTTGGTTACAATAAAAAATAGAAATAAATATAAATATAAACAGAAATGAAGACAATTTACACTGCTGGTCCTAGTATACTCTCCAAGATCTGTTAGCTAAATAATGCTGTAACTAGACATGTAACTAGATAAAATTGCAGTCTGTAAACTTTTCCAGAACTGTTTTGTCAGAGATTGATAGGGTGATTTCATTTAAATATTTGTAATAATAATATGCATAATCATGCATATTTAGTTGCAGATCTTAGTTTTTTTTGAGATTCTAACAAAAATGGACGACTTGCATTTTATTTTTATTCAAGTGCATACGTGTACTAATTCTTCACTATTAATGCCTGATTCAGTTAGGTCTGCACACAAGTACTTTACTGTATTTTGTGTCATTTTTGTGATTTGATCAAATTTGTTGATTTGATGGCATTTGAGCAATGTCAGTCTTGTCATTTGTTTGTCCAAATCAGTATATATTATGCGGTGTTAAGATTATTGCCGCTTTAATTGCCAAAAACATCTTCAACAAAATCATTTTCATAAATTTTTTTGTATTTTTCAATAATGAACAAAATATAATGCTGACACAAATGTGCGGAAGGTTGCACCAAAGTTTTTGCCAGAAATATTTGTTTAAAGGGTTAATTGCCTGCTGTCCCATATGATGTGTATGAATTGTAGTTAAATGATTTTCATCATTTCATCTAGGATGATAAACCTACAGCTAGAGAACTTGTACTTAGACAAGGTGTAAATAAAAAGACAAAGAAGAGACAAAAACAGTTTGACAAAGCCATGAAGGTGTTACAGGTATGGCAAGTCATTTTCTTTTCCCTTCATGTGCTATCATGTTGTGTTGCCAAAGTGCTCAGTCAGTTCTCTTAATTCCACACTTTCTCGCATAAACTGAAGCCAAGAATTATTAAAATTCAAAACACTTCACACATGACACTTCTATATGGATAATGGATATGCATAATCAGAGGTTTGTGCATCTGCATGTAACAACTAAATGATCTAAATTTTCAGTCATTTTGCAACTGAAAAACTCATTTTCGATTTTATAGTGTCTGATAAATTGCCCAAAGTTCTCATTATCATTTTATTTTTACTTGTGTATCAATATTGTCAGCTGATTGTGCAATTTGTTATCACTAAAGTATTAAACATAAATACTGTGAACTGCTTAATTTTAGCTGCAAGGAATTTTCAAGA